AATTATGGTTATTTGGTTTTGTTCCCTTGTGTATGACATGATACATCTTAGGTTTCCACGTAACATTAAATGTGTCAAGTTGTACTGTGGGATATAAGATTTTGTTATAACTACATAACTTGAATCACAACTATTATATGATATTATTGATTACATAATAATTTGGAATACACGTCACAAAAATTTCCTAATGTGCATCCCAACTTTGTCCTTATCAGCATCCCAACATTTTCCTAATGTGCATCCCAATAATTTCCTAAGATGAATCCCAACATTTTCCTACTGTGAATCCCAACATTTTCCTACTGTGAATCCCAACATTTTCCTAAGCTGCTTCCCAATATTCTACTAACTAGTATCCTAAATTATCCTCACCCGCTAGGATAGATATATTGTTGCATTAAATGGAATAAGTGGCAGAGTAAACTTTCGGCCGAGTCATTATATAGTGACATGAAAAAATAAGTTTTGATGTTCACAATTAGTTTTGGTATTTATGAGATTTGATTTTTATTTAATTCAAATAGTGGTTCATACTTAAATAAATGCCAAAACTTTACAGTCATAAATATTCTCAACCACTATGATAATTACATACAACACTAGTTAAACGTAAATTGTGTTAAAGTAAATTTGATCAAAACTTCATACTTACTAGTTCCTGGCATCAGTACTTTCAGTTAACATATCTGAAACGGGTTGGTAAGAAAAGCAAAAACAAATTCAAAAGCAATAGATAGGTGTGTATGAAGGTCTTCAAATATGATCCACAACCCTCAGTCATTTTGAAGATAATTCATGCTTATTCATTGCAATTGTAGTATTTACTTGCTTATTGATGTGTGCTTATAGCCACATCTTCATTACAACGTGTTTTCTCCATTAATTGAAAGCATTTGTGCAATTACATAGGTTTGGTGGTGAAGCCCATGCCCTAAGTCCCTCTCACTATTATCTTAATCCAATTTAAGTTTCATATTATCTCATTTGCATCCCAACTTAGTTTAATTACATTTTAGGTTTCCGTATAACATTAAATGTGTCCAGTTGTACTGTGGGATATAGGAGTTTGTTATGACTACATAACTTGAATCACAACTGTTATATGATATTACTAATCACATAATAATTTGAGATACACGTTACAAAATTTTCCTAACGTGCATCCCAACTTTCTCTTTACCAGCATCCTAACATTTTCCTAATGTGCATCCCAATAATTTCCTAAGATGAATTCTAACATTTTCTTACTATGAATCCCAACATTTTCCTAAGCTGTTTCTCAATGTTTTCTAACTTGTATCCCAAATTATCCTCACCCGCTGGGACAGATGTATTGTTGCATTAAATGGAATAAGTGGCAAAGTAAACTTTTGGTTGGGTCAGTATATAGTGACATGAAACAATAAGTTTTAATGTTCACAATCAGACTTGGTTATATATGAGATTTGAAAACAATAAGTTTTGATGTTCACAATCATTACGATACCCACCTTTGTTTACCCAATCAGAATGAAAATATTTACAAATAAGCACTGAGATAATGCAAGTAGGTATGCCAAGAATGGACTGGGCATCAATTGCATTAATGGGCAAGTACACATTCTCCTCCTAAAGTTTAATCTGACATTTTTTGCCTTCAAAATTTTCTACTAAGTAATTGAAAAGTTCAGTTGACAAAAATGAACATTTGAGATTCAACATATTGACAAAACCAATCTCCTCAACATCTTTCCTTTTTTCCTCGTTGAGATTGGATAATGCTTCAATGAACTTCGACAAGGAGTATCTATGCCACCCAGCTTTTATTTTCAACTCTTCATTCTAAATCAAAAAAGAAATTCTTATTAAGAATCAGGCATAATATGTCTTTAAACAAAATCACATCTCATTTTAAACATTACCTTCTTTTTTTCAAATATTACTCGTTTCATTCTAGACATTTTTAACTCTCTGTCACTTCTCTTTATCTCGCCATAATAATGGTCCTTTTAGATAGTCGTCATTGAATTCCACACTTTACTACCTTTCTTCTTCATTGCAACAATTAATTCTTGTCAATTCTTCCTGTTAAACCATGCTCTACTCAGAAGTTCCTAATGTATTCATCCCTGTTAAATAAAATTTCATCATTTCAAAACATATCAGTTCAATTATTTTATGCATATTATTAATCGACACATGTTTTATGCATGATTCAATGTAAATGTATTATAATTTTTGGATCACCAAAAAAAAAAAAAAACATGCAAACATGAGATATATGGTCCACATCTACATTTACCATTCTCAAGGCAACACAACCACAAAAGAAATTAAAAAATATAATAAATGTGAATGTCATAATTTATTTATACTTACCAGAACAAAAGGAAGACTCGCCCAAGTGGACGGGCCTCCGTCTTCTTAGCTGCGTCTTTCATAGAGCTGGTACTATTCATGTCTCCCTTATCCCCCCGCCTCCCCTCACCAACCTCCAGACGATTATTCACTGTTGCTGCTGCTGTACGTGAACGTAATGGGGATGTTTTTTTGGGTTCCAACAGGCTGAGTAGTATTATTTCGAGCAAATTTTGTCTTCCCCATCCCTGCAATTTCTTTACCTATCGTCTTCTTACCCATTACAACCGTAAAAGACAAGGTTTTTCAATTTGTAATAGGAGATAAAGTTAATATATATAGAAAAAAAAAAAAAAAAAAAAAAAAAAAAAAAAAAAAATCATATGAAAAATGTATGATTACTTCAACATTTGCATAGATTGAAGATGTTCATTTTGTATGTAGATGAATCTACCTAAGGGCATTTAGGAAAAATATATATATACCTAAGGACAATATTACAAAGTCTGAAAAGGATTAGATGTACACGACTTTTATCATTACATGTGAGTAAGTATTGAAAGTTTGAAACTACTGATTATTTATGGAGGGCTAAAGATGTAGTGTCAAGCTGTTAATTTCTGAAAATTGTTTAGTTATTTATTTATTTATAACCACTTTACTGTCAAACATTTTGCTTCAAGCAAAATTTCTATCACAAATGATTAAAATTATAACTTTATGACTCAAGAAAAATGAAGTATTAAATACTGACAAGTGTCATTGAAGCTACTTTAAACAGCAAACAATATAACAGCAACAATTAAAATTCTCATACGAGCCAAACCAACTTAGACAAGCAAGCAATGACATCAATTGGATATGCAAATGCAAACCAATCAAAACAGTCACTCTCTCTACATATCTCACGATAAAGCATAGTCATATGACTCATATATATATATATATATATACACACACTCCTACGTATAATAGATTTTAGATATATATATACACACTCCTACGTATAATAGATTTTAGACAGAGAAAAATCGACGCGACGCTACATTATAAGAGAGCACCATCAACAATTAACACTTGCCTCTTCCTTCTTTTAACAGTTATTCTCTTTCTCTCTCTAAAACAAACTAAATATATACATGTATATGTATCTACATATCGACATGTATGCCCAAAAAACCGTAACCTATCGTTCCCTAATTTTTTCTGAATCTAGATTGGATTTTGCGTTGAGTAGAGAAACCTGTTCGAACTATAGGGTTTCTGATAGGGGATTTTGGGGATTGGAGAGCTGATTCGAGAAAGATTCAATCTTTTTTGTTTGTGGTTTGATATGGCTTCAAGATTGGGAACAAAATCCTCAAGATTGAAGCATCTTCATTTAATACGCCTTACTCTCTCTCTCTCTAAACGAAACCCTAACACCAATCACAAGACCAATTTTTGGTACAAATCATACCTTGTGGGTTTGATACGGTTTCAAGATTGGGAGCAGATTCCTCAGGATCGAAGGCTTCTTCAGTTGATACACCTTGAGTCGGTTCAAAAAAAAATTTCTTCCAGTCTGTAAAAGTGGTATGTATACACTATTACATATTCAGTAAAAAATAACTTACTCTCCTTTGTCTTTTTTGACAAAGTGACGTGGGGACATATCCCCTGTAGCGCCAGAGACGATTTTTATCTGAGTTTTGAACTCACACCATGCCATAACTTTTGTCGCCTCGGTAACCATACCCGAGGTTAAAAAAAAAATGTTGGATTCCAAAAGAATTTGTTAGTCTCAACAAAAATTTCTGTTGGGTTGGATTTGAACTCACGCCCTTTCATGTTGGCGCCTTGGAACGTTCCCAAGGTTTAAAAAAAAAATGTTGGGAATTCCAAAAAAATCTCTATAGCCCGAATTTTAAAAATATATATATGTTGGGATTCCAAAAGAATCTGTCTTTTGTGTAGGGTGGGATGTGGTTTCACTAGTAAAATTTGGTGGTTACAAGCTGAAACCGGAGGCAAATAATGCATTTTCCGGCAATTTGCCGATAACTTATTGGTATTGATCTCATGAAACTTGAAACATTATTAATAATAAAACATTATTACTACTACAATTTATTGTTTTATGCTATAATCAAATTTGTTTCATTATTTCTGCTATGGTCAAATTTGTATCGATAGGCTGAGAATTGATGGATTGTTTTCATTATCTGCTAATGCATGAAAAACAGACGAATAATGTTCTTGGACCCATCTAAGCATGGCATTTAGGTTCGTGTAGGGAAATTGTATATATATTACATAGAGTAGCAAAATTATTCATAGCGGGTAATTTTTCTGTATAATATACGTATTAATAGGGAAGTGTATGTTAACAAACAATAAATATGCAATTTGAGGAATTTTAGAAGGTACACACGCAATAATATTAAAGAGGGGCATTTTGAACATATTAAAAGGGCAAAATCAGAATATCATAATCACTTTATGTCAAATGCCAAAAAGTGGCCATAGGGGTGTCTTTGCACATTTTTACAAAATAGGAATTGACACGGTTCAATTTTATAAAGAAATGGACCAATGTGCACAAAATATATACCGTATGGGCTGTTTCCTGCCCTTAACCCTTCCAAAATGCAGGTGTTATTCTAACTTACAATTGGCAGTTGTCAAAAAAAAAAAAAAATGTCTACCAACTCTCAAAACACAAAAGGAACCGAACCATTTATCAACATAAAACGCCTCTTCTCCAACCTTATGTAACAACTTGAAACTTGGGCAGTAAGGCAAATGTACAGCAAAATACAGACATATTTAGCGGTTCAACCCAAGTATGTGCCGTTAAGAGAATAATCGCAGAAAGTTGTTGGCATAAGCCATTGGCTTGACATCAGGGTGTGGCTGCAGAAATTTGGAGAAGAAGTGAATCAGACATGGCAAATAGTGGATAAATAATAATAATAATAATAATAATAATAATAATAAAGTATTAATAATTATGTGAACAAAAGAACCCAAATGCATGAGTACACACTGACAAATGATTCTCTGGAAGAAAAAAATAAAATGAACATATTTCAGAAACAGAAGCTACTGACCACTGCTGAAAATGTAACAATGTTTGGCTTCAGCTCCGGGGCTTCAAAACGAATAAAAGCACCTTTATTGCCCATCTGCAGCATGTGAGGTACAAATGTGTGTATCATGTATAAATTATGAAGAGAGAGAGTTTTCAGATCCTACAGGCATTCTTATCACCAAAGAAAATCCAAAATCATAGAATTTCATCACTATTACCATGTAAAGTTTCAATAAACATACTAAAATATACATCATCATTACCCTTGCCTTAATTCCGCATGGGTGGGGTCGGCAACAAGAGTTTTCAGTCTCCAATTTTTTCTATTATAGGCCAAATTAAAAAAACAATAGAATATGCATCATCTAAGCCGCCAAATTGCAAAACACCCTAAACTATCCTACTTTCTCGGAAAACCCCCTTGAGCTATTTTTTGTGCCAATTAATCCCTCTATCTTTTAAGAAGTTGCCAATTGCACCCTTACCATTCTTTTCCATTAGTTTTTTGTGTTGTTACAAAATTACCCTTAAAACCCCATTAGTCATAAAGCAAATGTTCCTCTCACGCCCATCGCTCCAAGTGGATTCTCTCATCTCTCCCACTCTCTCTCAAAAACTCTCCCACTTCCTTGCCTTTGCCTCACCCCCGACCTCGATGCATCGACTCCAGCGTCGACTTCATTCAAACAGAGACAAATAGGACTGTAAATGAACCAAGCATTCGTCGAGCTCAGTTCATGTTCATTTGCTTAATAAACAAACCAAGCTCAAACAAAATAATAAACAAGCCAAGCTCAAACACCTCCGTTCAGCTCATTTGTTCATGAAAGCGTTTGTGAATAGGCTCGTTATGAGCTCAAAATATATATATACATACATACATATATAATTTTTGCGTTCATGTAATATTTTTAATTAACCCACATTAGTATTTCATTTTAACCCATCAATAAAGGCCAACTCCAAATCCAATACAGCCCAACCCAACTTTAACTCATAACATTTCATCCATTTAATAATAAAAGAGTCCAGCCCCATCCCATATCCATTACAGTCCATCTGCATGTAAGCCCTAATCTTTCTCAACCTATTGAAATAAAACCAATTTAATCTATGTAAACCCTAACACATCATTCTCTGACTTCTCTCTACTCACTACCCTAGACGCAAAAGCAGCAAAACCACCCCTTCCCCCAAACACCCGACGACATAGCAGCTGCAATACTGATCGGAAAAATGAAACCGCCGATAGGCAACCGCTGCAAAAGCAGCAAAACCACCCCCTCCCTTTCTCTCTCTCGTCTGGTCTCGCTTCTATCTTCTATTCATATTGGCATCATCGAAATTGGGAGTAATTTTTTTTTTACTTTGTGAGACTTTGGAGATGAAACACTGAAGATTTATTTGGAAGTTAAGACCAGTGGGTACTTAAACACAGATTCATATATGCAGTTTTTTATTATTATTATTATTATTATTTATTTTTGTGTGGGGGTGTGCGTGTGTGTACATAAACGAGCAGTTGAGCCGAGCCCGAGCTCGTTCGAGCCCTGCCAAGCTCAATCCTGGGCAGGCAAAGCTTGATCAAAGGTTGAGCCGAGCTCGAACATTCATTTGACTGTGACGAGCAGAGAGCCCGAACACCCCAAAGCCAGGCTCGGCTTGACTCGTTTACAGCCCTAGAGTCATGCACCTTTCATCGACGACATTCTAGCACCTCTAGACATACCCTTCATCGACATTATGTACATCTCTGTTTCAGTTGCCCGGATTCGAAAGCTTCAAATGTGCCCACAATGATCATTGCTACCCAATGATACTGACAGCGGTTATTCCTTACCAACCAATGGCATTGTATATAAATTAAACCAAATTGACTTTCCGTTGGAACCTTGCCAACGCCGACGAAGGCATCGACCAACATATTTATGTCAGTCTGAGCAATTCAGTGTATGATTGTTCGAATTCTTTGAGCTCACAGATAATGTGGTTTGATTTGATGTATATATTCCATTGCAACCATGAATCCCATCTCAACTCAAAGCTCCTCCCAGGTACAAATTTAAAGGACCCATCTCTTTCTCTCTCTATAAATTATAATTTTGATATGTAATACTAAAATATAATTGCACGCCCAATATAATAGACAGAAGAGAATCACAATAAACCAGGCATATCAGGATTGATGGACTAAATTAAGAAGTATATATATACATATACATATAAATAGGTATTTCATAAATCGTACCCAATCAAGAATGTTATGAGAGATGGAGAGAAGGGGAGAGAGGACTCAGAAGAGTTGCTGTCGGCCAAGTGGTAGGGTGAAAGTGGTATTTTTGGTAATTCAAAGGGGTTATGTATCTAAGATTGGTTCTTTAACGGAATTGGCCGGCCATCCAATGATCCAATTCAGGGCTGTAGTTTGGCAGGTTTGAAGAGTTGGAGTTATTTGGCACAAAAAAAATAGTTCAAGGGTGTTTTCTGAGACGTGGATAGTTCAAGGGGGTTTAGTGCAAATTTGCCTCATCTAAGGCAGTAAAACTTTCACAATATCTTAAGATTTGGTGAAAGTAAACCTCAACAGATGTATCACTAAATTACCAAATACTAATGACCCAAGTTCAGCTTCTTAGTACAAACCTTTAAAATAAATGACACTTTTCATACCGAATATATCAAATTATCAATGCAAACATTTGTGCAACAAACAAAAGCCATAAGTTTCATACAACAAAATCCAAGGAAATAAAAGCAAACATGTTTAGGACGCAAAAGGTCATGATTAAATTACCTGATCACAATAGTTTGGAGCAGAAAACACAGTAATGAGTTTACCATCATGCTCAATCTCATAGCCTTCATCCTTCACTTCGTGAGATCGCACAACTAAATCTGTCAATGAAACAAGTGTGTGAAGGCACCAATTTGAAGGATATGAAAACATGAAAAGACACTGAATATGAAGTGAAGTACCTAGGTTGTTTTCCTGCAAAAATTTCTGTGTCACGTCTGCACCAAAAGAGAGACCTACACCCCGCTTGCTTGGTCCTCTTCCAGGCTGAGGCTGTGGATCACTCCACAGTAATTCACACATCAACCCTGAAAGACATGCAAGAATAGGTAAAGCATGCCCACAAAAATCAATAACCATAACAGAGGAAACTATAACATGTGCTGCCTTGCAAAGATTTTACATTTAAGGGGGGAAAAAAACAACTTTGATCATTTGCTTTATTAAGAGCAGTGGCAGAAAATCCTTTTAAAAACATGAAAGCAAAATATAGAAGATAATTAAAATATATTGCACAAACAATGCATTTATTTATTTTTCCTGGGGATCGAACTAACAATATAGTCAAACCTGAAATTCCTTCACCAAAAAGTAAATCAAAACCTACTATTTACCTTGAGGATTAACATTTAACAGGAAAATGACATGGAAACTAGCAAAGTTGAGCCAACGATGTGAAGACTATGAGTATTAGTATTGGAACTGTGACCATATCCGTGAACCCCATGTAAATGTGCATTCATAATACAACTGTCTTTATTGCCTCATCAATACCACAATACAAGGTTGAGATTTCTTGACACAGAGAAAGAAAGGAATGAAAGGAACGATGCATTACAATATCCACCATGTAACATGGGAAGATAGAAGGAAAAGATGAAACATCCATCTTCAACCACTTATCTTCCAGCAATTTTAACAATATTCTCTTTAATGTCTGTAATGTGAACCTGATATTCGAATAACAAACTTTCAAGACTTTCGAAGGATCGTCACCAAGAGAAGTACAAATTTCTTGAAAGTGGTTGGATGTTGAATGGGTGCACTCCCAACCCACCATGGGTTCGGTAGCAATCAACTCTCATGATTGTTAAAAAAGAAACAATTGACAAGATAATCTGGTATTTGTTGCTTAGCTGCTTCTTCAAGACATGTAATGATCCAACACCAATGGTTACTAGGTGAATGAATGTATTAAATTGGAAAATGAAAGGTTATGTCAATATGTAAGATAGGCATGTGCCCCGCTCTTCAACCTTAAAACCATCTGATGCTGTAGGCTATGCAGGAGGTATTCTGATTTTGTGTGATAAAAATGGGGTTTGAAGGTCAATGTTTGCAAAGGGCAATTTACAGTCTCTTCTCCATTGGATGAGGATTGATCTTATTGGATTCTTTCTGGGAAGTATGGTCCTATTCAGGATGTCGAAAGGAGTTCTTTGTGGAAGGGGTTGGTGTATGCTCATAGAGTTAGAAATTCCTGTGGTACGTGGAAGGGCATTTCAATTTGGTTAGATTCCCCAATGAGAGATCCTCAGGAGGTAGGTGGACTACAGCTATTAAGGAATCTTTTTGAGTTCATTCATGTACCGTAGGAGGGTGCTTCTTTTACTTGGTTTAAGAGGTTTGATTTGTTGAATAAAGCATTGATGGATAAATGGCTCTCGAGGTTTGGGATGGAGAGAGGTAGACAGTGGAGTAGGATTATAGAGATCAAAGTTGGGTAGGATAGAGGTGGAGCTCTAAAGAAGTGAATTCTCTGGCAGGGGTGGGAATACGGAAAATAATTCGAAGTGGCTCAAATAAGTTTTCAAAGCATGTCCAGTTCAAGGTGATAAGAGGAGGCATGTTCAGTTCTGGGTGGATGCTTGGAGTGGGGGAACAGACCACTTGCATGCAACTTTGCAAAACCTAGGAAGCAGACATGCCAAACACACCAAAAAATGTGTGTGAATATCATTCTTTTTGGACACGCCTCAAACACTTGATAGACATGCCGACACACCACAGATAGGCGTGTCTGATTAAAAGATGAATTTTGTTTAAAAACAAAAAAAGAAAAAAAAGATGGGTTAAAATATAAAATATGTGGAATTCTTTGAAAAGTTCCAATAATATGGAGGTCAAAACATAAAAAATAATTTTTTAAAAAAAATGTAATCAGTTAAGCAATTTAATTTACTTAATGTTTTTATAGTTATTACTTGTTTGAAATTTAAAAGACCACAGAGAAACTCGTAAGAATCTTGCTTTATTTCACAACCAAATTTCAAACTTGCTACAATGGATTATCGAAACTTGACTGCTGGTGCACCTTCTCTTCTCCTTCAATAATACTCTCTCTCTATTTTTTTTTTCTTTACTTTTTGTCCTCTTCTTCCAATCACAAACCCCTTTCTTTCTTTAAATCTCTTTTATTATCAAAAAAACTATTTTTTCTCCACACAGCCTTAGCTACTTTATTTCAAAAAAAAAATTCTCTCTCTTCAACCGATTCTCTTTTAGTAGAATTCTCTTTTCTTCAATGAATTTAGATTACAACAAATTTTATAAATGGAGTTGAGAAATTATACTCCAACCCATTCTCTTTTCTTAATTGAGAGAATTGTTCTTGTAGTTCATTGATTATTGTGATATGGGATTTATGATTCATAGTTTGAGTGAGAGTAACATTAGTCACATAATATATTATCACATATATAATAAAAATATATATTATTCATCATGTCCCCGCCTAGGGGTGCCAATAGTTGACACAACACGCTAGCACAATTCGAACATGAAACGGAATAAGTGAATTTGGGTTTGGTTTAATCATGTTCGGGTCGTAATTGTGTCAACTCGTATTGACATGCTAATTAAATGCGTCATATTTGTGTTTGAACCGCCAACCTATTTATAACCCGAATGCACCCGTTGAACTAAACGTGTCGTGTTTGTGTTAGAAACGACCCGTTCAACTAAACAGTCATGCTCATGTTGGTTTGACCCTAATACTACAAAATTTAATTAAACATGTCTTGCCGTGTCATATCAGGTCTTAACCCATTCATTAAATGAGTTAAGCGTGTTGCGACATGTTCGTGTCAACCTATGTAACAGGATGCCCATGTCCTGACACGACATAACAACACGAATTGCCGCCCCTATCCCCACCATGTCCATGTCTTAATTTTCTAGAATTTGTCATGTCGTTGTGCTTGTGTTATGTCATATTTTTGCTTCTTAGCCTGAGACATTTTAGGATTGAGGTGGACAAGCAGATTATGATTGCTAACTGTTAGCATTAATGGTGGGAGGGTGACATGGCATGTACAATTTGAGAGGTATCTTCAGGATTGAGAGATGGATGACGTGTTTTGCATTATTGTATCATCTATCAACAGAATGTGTATGGGGACTTGATGAGTGGAATTAGGTGAAATCCTGGCATAGGGGTTTTGAATTGCAATCTTTTTATCACAGGCTTCAGTATCCTCCAGGGACTATTTTTGTTCCCTTGAAAGGCAGTTTGGATGACAAAAGCCCCTCTAAATGTGGCTTTTTTGGGTGGACAGTAGAATTGGGTAGGATTTTGACGTATAGATAATTTGACCAAGAGGTGTCAGATTGTAGTGACTTGGTGTTGCATATGCAAAAGGGATGAGGAATTGGTAAACCATATCCTCTTACTTTTCTCAGTGGCTAGCGATGTTCGGACCTAGCTTTTTACTCCCTCCGTCCCAAAATAGGTGTCCATCTTGGGAACTGTGACTCACAAAACAGTTCCCAAGATGGACACCTATTTTGTGACAGGGGGAGTACTATTTTTGGTGTTCATTAGGTTGCCTCAATATCCTGATGGGCATGCTCAAGGCTTTGAGGGTTGTACAATGGGTAGTCAAGTCTGAGACACTTGGAAGGCAGCTCCCTACGTTTTTTGTGGGGTTTGTGGCGTGAGAGGAATAGGCAATCCTTTGATGGAGATGAAGCTCCTATTTGGGTGTTTAAATACTCCATCTGGAGTTCTCTATTTTTTTGGGTTAAGGATGGCATAGTAATTATGTGGAGGACTTTGTAGATTTTATATATAGTTTGAGAGTACAGTTGGAGAATATTGAGGCTCTAAGAATTTTATGTGCTCAAATTATTACTTTGAAGGGGATGATATGAGGTGGATTGGTTGGGCAAGAATTTCCATAGAATGCCATGGGTAGGAAATTGACTTAATTTCCTTGAAAAGTTATTTATATGACACTAAATCTCCTCCTGAAGTAGCTTCTTTTTCTTCCCTTTTTTGAGTGAGGGCAGGGGCAGGAGAAATGGATAACAGTTCTTGGAGAAGATCTTAACCGTTGACAAACTGTTTAAAATGTGCAGTTACAGTTGATTGTGCTGCGAGTTAAAAAAAAAAAAAAAAAATTGATTAGCAACTTGACACATTGTGCTTTGACTAGTATTTGACTCTTTCTTTATCTACTTTCTAGGATCATTGGGTAACAATGCCTGGGTCAACAGGGTGGTACTGGCTGCACACAAGTTTATAAAGTGAGTAGGAGGGCCAGATCATTGTAGCAGGTGATGACTCCTTTTTGCTTATAATTACGGGTTTTTGAAGAGCTGGAATTGTCTACATTAATATTGGGGCATAGGATGTTGTACTCTCTCTTGTTCTGGGTTACTGGAAAATTTTGTATTCTAATTAATGCATTTACATGGTTATAGAATTAATTTGTGCATACATCGTTAATGAAATTGTCAAAAGACCTGGGACAAATTTTAACCATCACAACAATCATTTTGAAGCAAAAAGCATTTCCCATATGGGGTATTAAGATAATTTCTCAAGTTTACAACATCGCTTTTTAATAGAACTTGTCCCAGACAAATTTAAAACATTGCTTTTTAATAGAACTTGCCAGATGGCGGAGATGGATTCACCATTGTATCTCAACGGTTCAAATCTCAGTTTTGGTGAATAGTTCTCTGACCCGCTTCTTTCTAGATCTCGAGGCCTGAGGCAGGAAGACCAGCTCTGGCGCTCTCTCCTTTTCTGTTCATCATTATCATGGAGACATTCAACAGATTAATGAGGAAAGTGGAAGAGCTAAGCTCTATTAGAGGCTTTTCGATAATCCAGCTAGTTGGTGATCTCTCATTTGCTTTTCGCACATGACCCCCTTTTTTTTTTTTTGTGATGTGTCAGAGACTCAGCTGAGATACTTGAGATGTGCTCTGGTTTGCTTCCAATTAGTCTAGGGCTTGAAGATCAACATTGGGAAGAGTGAGATGGTCCCAATTGGGGTGGTGGAGGAGATTCATGATTTTGCGGGCATTCTTGGCTGTGGGAATGGCTCTTTTTCCGATTTCTTATTTAGGTCTGCCGTTTGGAGCTTGCTTTGGAGCTTGCTCGCGGAGGACACCAATTTGGGATCCAGTTGTAGTACGCTTTGAGAAAAGGCTCACTGGGTGTAAGAAACCATATCTTTCGAAAGGGGGTCGTCTAACACTTAAGAAGAGCACCCTTCCAACCTACTTTATGTTGCTTTTTCCAATGCCTATGTCTGTTGTGAGAAGGCTTAAGATCTGGGACAGTATGGAGAAGAGTTTAAGTACCACTTAGTGAATCAGGGGAAAGTGTGTACCCCTTATTCAGGTGTTTTTTTTTTTTTTTTTTTTTTTTGGGTATGTGTGTGTGTGTGTGTGTGGGGGGGGGGGGGGGGGTGGGGTTGGGGGTTGGTCAAATTCGAAGATTAGATTTGTTCAATAAGGCATTTTTGGGCAAATGGCTTTGGAGATTTGGGAGTGAAAGGTCCAGATGGGGGATGGGGTAATTGTTTGTTGGAGTGGGGAGGGTGCTAGTGGATCATGGTTAGTTGTCTAGAGAATTGAACTCTCCTTGGGGGTGGTGGTTTGGAAGTCTATTTGGAAGGGTTGGGATGAGTTTTAAAACGTATTCAATTCAAGGTCAGAAGCAGGAGACATGTCAGATTTTGGGAAGATCTTTGGTGCAGGGATATTGTTTTAAGCTTGCAGGTTCCAACGGCTTTCCGGGACCGCTGCAGACAGGCAGGCCTTGGTTGACAATTGTTATCAGCTTGAAAGATGGAAAGCGTTCAAAAGGGGAACACATCCCCGAAAGCTACTCAAAGGCCAGAGCCAAAAACAACTAAGAACTCAAGGAGCCCAAAAAATCAACAATATCATTTATAGATTTACAATTGCTCCACAAGCGCCAACAAAAAAGAGAGCTAACAATAAGAAACTTTAAAGCTGCAAAAGAAGATTCCTCTCCATCAAAGGATCTCCTATTCTGCTCCTTCCAAATGCACCACCAAACACAAAAAGGTGCCACCCTCTAAAAATCACAGCCGTGGGGCAGACAAATTGGGATATGCAGTTCCAAGGAGAGTTTCATGATTGGGAGCTGGAGGAGGTCACAAAGTTCTTAGCTATGTTATATAGCTAGGTGGTGGAGGGGGAGGGGAGGGATAAACTGGTTTGGAAGGCTCCTCGAGAGGAGCTTTTTGTGTTCGTTCCTTCTACCAAAGCTTTTTGGGTATCCAGGGGCCTCCCTTTCCTTGGAAAGCTGTTTGGAGATCGAAAGCTCCCTTAAAGGTAGCTTTTTTTTTGCTTGGTCAGCTGTCCTCGGGAGGATCCTCACATTAGATAACTTGAGGAAAAGACGTCAGATTGTGGTGAGCTTGTGCTGCATATGCAAGCAAGCAGAGTCATCGGTTGATCACCTTCTTTTCCAGTGTCCAGTAGCGAGTGATGTTTGGTATGCATGGGGGTCCTCCGGTTCCACATTAGGCACGATTGAGGCTTGGAGAGGGTGTATAGTGGATAGCCGAGCTAGAGATACCTGGAGGGACACTCCCCTTTGTTTATAGTGAGCTTGTGGCGCGAGAGAAATAGGTGGTCCTTCGATGGAGAGAAGACTACTATTTGGTCTTTCAAATACATTATACTGGGTTCTTTATTCTTTTGGTTAATGGGCAAAGTTGTAAATCTGTGAGGGAACTTGTGGAGTTTGTGGATAGTTTGAACCTCTTGAACGCTTTTAATGACATCTTAATAATCTAATATTATAATCAAATATTACAAGGCATTCAAAAGGGGAATGTGTCCCGAGAACTACACAAAGGCTGAGGCCAAAGAAAAGTTTTTAAGGACCCAAGGAACCCAAAAAATCAACAAACTCCTCTATAGATTTACAATTTCTCCCATCCCCTAACTAAAAAGAGAACTAATAATAAGCTAATTTCAAATCCCCAATGGAAGATTCCTCCCCATAGAAAGATCTTCTATTATGCTCCTTCCAAACGCACCATCAGACACAAAAGGGTGTCGCCCTCCAAATATCATGGACGTGGGCTCCCACAAAACAGCCTCTCTGGGAATCATCAAGCCCCTCAAAGACTGAGGCATAACCCACTGCACACCGAACAAACCAAAGATAAGGCTCCAACAATTGTGAGCCATGGGGCAATGCAAGACTAGGTGATCCACAGACTCTCCATCCCTCTTACACAAGCAACACCAATTCCCAGTAACCTGTCTTCTCCTCCTCAGGTTCAGGGAAGAAATGGGTACACCCCACCCGCCCGGCTCATTTTATGGAAAAATTACAAGTATACCCTTATTTAACTTTATATTTCCCACATTCCCTTTATATATCTATTCTCTCTCAAATTTAGACCTTGTAGCCCTTTCCAAGTCGGCACTCATCCCCAGCTCCCAGATTTTCATTCCTCTGAATCAATGATCACGTGTGAGACCAAAGCCAGCAAACGTCTACCGGTCCATGGCTCGCCACCTTGATGCAGGCTCTAGATGCTGCTTTTACAGATTATGATACAGACTCACAAAAGTCATCTGCAAAGAGTTGAGAGAGACCTGATAAATTGGTCTAGGGGAATATTATCCTTCTATCAGTTCATTGGTGTAATAGGGTATCTTACTAAATTGATGGTAAATTTATTTCCATTGTTATTAAATGTGTGCAATAAAAACTTCAATTGCACTGAATGTGAAAGGTTGGTGGAGGACCCATAACATTGGTTGAATAAAGGCATCAACCTAGCTTGAGAATAGAGGGGAAGGAAAGAGAGACAGAAAGAGGGAGTGACTAATTAAAGATAATAGAGGAAGCAAAAGGGGAAGATCGAAGGGTGTCCCAGAGAAAAAGAGAGGTGGTGAGTTCGATTCACCGTTTGCAAACGCCATCGAATAGCTTTTCCAAAATAACAATTTTGTTATAACTTTTTTTTTTTTTTTCATTTTTTGAACAATGTGGATGTGGTGCATTGTACATCATGGATTTTAAAAGAAGAACACTTGCCAGTTAAGGAGCAATTTAACTTGGGATAACTTGGAGGCTTTTTAACGTAGAATATCCTCATCCTAAGATAAAACCACACGTGACTAAAACTCCTCATAGTCCAACCATATTATTTATACAAGCTCTACCAGATTTAGATTATGTGGCCGATAATCTTTAATCTCAACACCAAACATAGTTAAATTAAGGAATACATAGAAACAGAACATTCAGCTTACCTTCCTCCGGGGGCTCACAAAAACGATCAATTGCTCTAATGTCAGAGAGCTTCACCCCATCAATGCTGAAAAGACCTCCATGAACCACAAAAACCTTCTCATTTAATACATGAGCCAAAGGTAGGCAACAGAACACTTCAGCAAAGAGTTCAACAAATTTTTCGCTTAACTTCGATCTGACCTCACCCTCAAAACCATAAATTTTGTTCATGCTCTTGCTCTCATGATTTCCTCGCGAGAGGTATATGGCTGAAATTAACACAAAAATAATTAATATGATACGTATAAACAAACTAATGGAAAGGAATACATATCAACACATTCATTGCAGGGAGAAAATTGTAGAAAGTTGTTTTTAATTCATAGTAGAAACCAAAAAAGACTAAAAAATAAAAAATAATAAAACAATAAAAAAAAAAAAAAAAAAATTATGTATAAAATTATGAGCTTGCCAACAAACTTAAATGTTTGAAAAAAAATTAATTAAAAAAAAATAAATCAATGCATATATCTATTTATTAAAAAGGAAAAAAATAATAAAGACTAACACTGGTAATGTGTCATCTAGCCTCAGTTATTTCCTGAAGCCCAACTATCATTCACAGTAATCCAGAAGAAAGCCAAGAGTAGCTTTGAATTGATCAAAGTGACTCAAACAAAACAGGGGGGAGGGAGAAGAAGAAGAAGAAGAAGAAATACAAAATGCAACTCTATCCTCTTACATTAGGCAGACTGTGAGTCTAAAAAGCACATAAAAAATGCTAAAGCAGAGAAGATCAAAAGCACAGGATGTTCCTCTTTCATTCGATATAGACTGTTGAGTACCAAAAGTTCATCAAAAAGGCTAAAGCAGACAAGATCAAAAGAACAGGATGTAAAGGAGGTTACCTGATGGACACATGCATTTAAATGCAAAAAGCGTGAGTATGATCTCAACGGAAAAGGATCCTCTATCCACAAAATCACCATTAAACAAATATGGATTCTCTTCTGAGGGAAGCCCATTGAGCTTAAAAATATTCAGTAAATCATAGAACTGCAACCATAACACCCACCGAATTCCAAATAAAAAATTTCAGTTCTCTAGGGCCAGGAACAGTAAATGATAAAAGGGCAGGGAATAGATTCAGAGTAGATAAAAAGACTCAGATGAGCTTATCACATCATAATGTCAACAATAATAAGAGGAATGAAATCAAGATGCAAGACAAAATAAAAAATAAAAAAAATAGTTAACTATCTGCAATGTAAAGTGGAAGAAGATATTAGTCAAGTAGTTACTCTTAAAAATACATAGGGGAACTTATCAAAAAAAAAAAAAAAAAATCACATAGGGAATATTACTGTTTTAGTAAGAGAATTTTGTTATATTGCTCCAACCATGGCTAGAACTTGTAATGAAACAGAACTGAGGGAAGCCCATTGAGCTTAAAAATATTCAGTAAATCATAGAACTGCAACCATAACACCCACCGAATACCCAAAAAAAAAAAATTCAGTTCTCTAGGGCCAGGAACAGTAAATGATAAAAGGGCAGGGAATAGATTCAGAGTAGATAAAAAGACTCAGATGAGCTTATCACATCATAATGTCAACAATAATAAGAGCAAATAAAATCAAGATGTCAACATGCAAGCCTGTATAACAAAATAATAAAAAAAATAGTTAACTATCTGCAACGTAAAGTGGAAGATATTAATCAAGTAGTTACTCTTAAAATCACGTAGGGACTATTGTTGTTTTAGTAATAGAATTTTGTTATATTGCTCCAACTCAAAGTGCTATGAGATTCAACAGGAGGCAATTAGCTTTTAATTCTTGTTAGCAATGTTACAGTTTCTTATGACAGGGTTATATAATTCCTCTTAAAAATTCCCATTCTCAAGTTCTCCTAGTCTTTTTTTATCAATTCTAGCAACAGTTTTGCATGTAAAAACATAATCAAACTTAAGAAACTTTATGTAACACATTTTTTATTCCCAAATGATGTTTTTTTATCATAGCTTAAAAAAAAATTATTCACTCCACTAGTCCTTTAGAAATTTCATTTCATTGATGTCCAGTTGATGCAAAGAAGATTTTTAGAAAATAATAATAATCATTATACATCACGTGCTTGTTCAGATAATCATCCATGATACATACTACATTGTATTTCCCAAGTCTAATAAATTGTATTTCCTTCTGAAGGTCCAAAAGTCCTAACCGACTTACAAGCATGGATTGTAAAAATTCCGTTCCCCCCCCCCCCCCCCCCCCCCCCCCCCCCCCCACAACAGAATAACTGCCTCTTACTTTCTCAATAATAAATCCTTCGACCTCTCTATTTGAAGGAAGATCTAGTTTCCTCCCTCCATTCTCGCTTTTACTTCTTAATAATAAAGTCTCTGGTCTTTGTGTATGTGTGAGGAAGGAGGTGAGTTTTCTGAAATGCTTCTCTATTTTCTCTTTAAACTGACTAATAAGTAAAATTATATTATAAATCAAGATGTGCAAGTACAGTAGAAAAATAAATAAATAAAATAAAAGCAATCACGAAGAAAATTTTAAAAGGGTATCTCACAATTTCTAATTGTTGAACGCCAAGAATCTATAGTAAGTGGATGCATAGAGTATCCCCTCCTAGTCACCGTACTTTCAAGAAAAAATGTTCTCCAGTAATATTTTTGTTCTGTACCCAAAATAACCCAACAAGAGATTCCTGGAATCAACTAGCACAACGTATTGCCTTCTTATTCTAAGCCTTTATATGCCAAGAAACAAGCACCTCTTTCAAATCGAGAAACACCCAGAGTATCCCCTAAATAGCAAAGCAACCTCCATAATCACTGGATGAAAAGAGCAGTGAAGGAACAAGCATTTGACCCATAGAGAAGCAACTCCTCCACAAAATGCTGACTCCCAACCCTTCATATTCTCCCAAGAAGGTGGAGCTTGCCGTCCTAATTTTTTCTTCCCTTTTTTTTTAAGATGAGTAAAAGAATTTCATTGAATCACCGAAAAGGGGAGCATCCATACACACGGGAAACATGCAAAAATCATTATACAAAATCTATAATCTCTGCCAAAAGATTTACTAAAGAATCCATCAGCAAGAAGCCAAGAAACCACAATTCCAAGCCCGAAAATAAGAAAAATGATTGCATTAATAACTAATAGTCAGCCAGAAATCTGTCATACAAGGAATTAAAACTCATTGTGACTTGGCCAACTCAGTAGAGTCATAGTGAACTAGGCCAACTTGGCTGTGTCATAGTGAACTTGGCCTAGTGCATGACTGAGTAAGCCTGATACCCGTGATATATTGATATCTATAAACACCTTAATTCAATAGACTTCCATCATTAGCACTAGAATTCCACAACCATGTTTATAACAAAGCTAAATGAAATGCTAGTATCATCAGGCTCTTTTTCTCGTCTTTGCCATTTGATAACAATGGCTCACCACCATATAGCACTCATAATAAGGACCAAAAGACTATCATAGGAATTTGAGCCAGTGATTCTTGAGGAGCGGATGTGTAAAAAGAATTGACAATGCTTACAAATTTTAATACCACTTTTACAAAAGATATCTCTCAACAACGGTAAAGAACACAAACCTAAATAGCATGAAGTTGTTACACAAATTATATTTAGATCTTATTTGACAATTACGAATATAGAACACAATCTAAATAGCATGAAGTTGTTACACATGAAGTTTTTATTCGATTTTAATCTTGTCCACGGCCATTATCTTGCATAAATAGGTATCTCAGCACCACAAGAGAACTCAACCTAAAGGAGCATGCAACTATTAAAACAATAACATATATAAAAATAAAAAATACAAAATAAAAAAGATGGCATATATACTTATATAGCCTTCACTGACGACCTAACAAAAGTTCAATGAATTTATATTTTGCAATGACTCCAATAAGTACACCAAAGTACAGTAACTACCTGACCATGAACATCACCACAAACAGTGAAGTGTTTTCCATCAGGAATATTGATATCAACAAGAGAAGGCAAGGCTCGCAGCATTTCTCTTGTTTGCAAGACAATCTGGAATGCATATCTATGACATGAACACCAAGATTCAGAGTGAAAGCATTTAGAAATATATATATATATAATGCAAACTACTGTAGTTCTAATTGCCAAAAGTATTTTTTTTCTCTCTTTGAGGAGAACGAGGTGGGGCGGTGGATACTGTGATTGTCCAGACATACCGTTTGTGTAAGCATTTCTGATTCTTAAAGTCATCCATCATTTTCTTCACAAAATCCAAAGTTACAACATCTTCCTCTATTCTTGCACCAGAATATTGTGGCTCCACAACTAGAATTTCAACAGAACAAAACACCATTAATTCTAGGTAATAAAAGTAATTTCCTTTACATAATCTTATTTTATTTTTCGAAATTTTCTAACTAAAAACAGTTTGTTTTTGGTAACTAAAAGTGGTTTGATATTTTTATTCTTGCAAAAAAAAATCTGTTAATAAATCCTTGAAAAAAAAGGGGAAAAATCAAACAGCATTCAAAATGTTATTTTGAGATGCCTGAGGCAAAAGGCTTATTTTAATATGCCTGATGCACAAGCCTTATGGAGCAGCTTGGAGAATTTTCAATAAGAAATAAAAAAAAAATAAAAGGTACAAAAATCAACTTCTGCAGCGCATAATATCATGTATTTCATTATCTGGGTAAAAGGGGGGGAAAAGGAAAGCCAGGAGATGAGACCCACACAATTAGAACAAACACAATGTAAACATTCACAAAAAGGCACTAATCAAGGTGAAACTTATGTACGACATTCAAAGAGCAAGAAGTTAAAATGTAGTCCCAGCCCGCAGCATTGTAGTTATGGTGTAACAAAGGTTATGTAGGTCGTGAAATAATTTCATCCTAATAAATCTTAGTCAAACTGATCCAATATGTAATTTACAACTCCAAAATTCCATTAAAAAAAAAATTTCTGTTATTGAATTTTTAATGGATTTATTAAATACTTAAGGTGTTCTGATATAAGTTAGCACCTATAAATTAAATTTTAAGGTTCAGTCAACAGTAGAAGTTAACCAATATCTGTTGAATATAAAATTGCAACTATTCTGATGTTTCAGTTAACTTTTTTTTTCTTCTTCAATTTTTTTTTTTTTTTTGATAAGTTGTTTAAGAAAGACAATTTATGTAGACTAATACATATGTATATGTACTTTTGTAGTTTAACAATATACTTATATATATTTTAAAATACTTAAAACAGAAAATTCAAATACTTTGGTTAAAAATATATGAAAAATAAAACGGAAAATTTTGAAATAAATAGAAATCCTGAATTTTTTTTTTTTATATTGGCAAGAAACACGCACACACACCCAGTTGCCCCTTTGGGGGACTTGAACACTTGACCTTCTACTTTGGAAGGCAAGGAAGTACCACTAGGCTACAACAGCCTTTGGTCAAATAAGAGGATAAGTGTATAATTAAAGTCCATGACTTCAGTAGACCTGAAATTTTATAAGTCTTGGAAAGATAACTAGGAACTAAAATTGAGTAAGCAAACGACAGGTTGGAAAGAGACTGCCACTCCTAACGCCATTACACATTGCCTTGCAGAGGCTCCTTCACTAACAAGGTCAAACATATAATTAGAAAACCTTCACACAAAAGATTGTAAGATCTCCATACATCATAGTTAAGTGAATTTTCTCCTCACTCATCTCATACAATGCCAAGCGTTTTCCAGATTTCATTGGGTGGAAAGATTTTGATAATCGTTTCTTAACAATATTCATAATAAAAATTCATCAAAGAACTAAAGTAAAAATTCTAAGACAGAAAGTCTTCAAGAAAAATGGACATGGAGTAAAATACGGAAAGGGAGGGGGAAAAAAAAAAGGAAAAAGAAAAAGGGGAAACATATTCCATGGGTTGGGAAAGAACTAAATAAAGAAACTAAACAAAAATAAAAGGGTGAATTACGCTGGCTTCCCTTGAGGTAAGGGCCTAAGGCCTAATTACACACAGTAGAAACAAATAAGCCTAATGACATTGGCCTCCCTTATGAACATTATTAAGCCAACGGATGTGGAGTGCTACTATTAAATGTCCTTCATAGTTTATATTCTACGAATCACGGAAACGGATACGGGACCCGGATACGGAAAAAGGGTAAATACTAAAATTTAGGACACGGATATGGCGGGGACACGGAGAATAATAAATATTATATATATATATATATATATATATATATATATATATATATATATATATATATATATATCATGCTATACTTTAAGAAATTAAGAGTAATATTTTTTTGGATGGTAAAGCAAACTCACACACACACGTCTCCACTGAGGCTCGAACCCCTAACCTCTCCTTTGGGGAGGCCAAGTTTGTACCAGCTGGGCTATTGCCCATTTGGTAAAAAATGAAGAGTAATATTATCTTTTATCAACATACTAATGAAAAAAATTTGTGTTTCGCCGGGAAAAAGAAAGAAACAGAGAAACAAGGAGGATTACGGTATTGTTAGAAAAATAATTAGGGGTTAGTTAAAAACAAAGGTAAAAAATCCATAGAAGAGAAGAAATTCTTGGAAACAACGTAAAATATTGTTGTGAAAGGAAAAAAAAAAGAAGTTTTAAGGTTTGTGAAGAAAGAAAACAAGAAGAAGAAGAGGAGAGAGAGGACCATCCACCGGCAGCAAAGCTTGGTCGGTGGGAGAACACGAGAGAACCAAAGTTGATCGTGCAAGAGTTTGAATCTTTGAACTAAAAATAAGCCTAAATATATGATTGTTATAATCAAAAATTGTTTTATTAAAAAAAAAAAAAAAAAACCTTTTAAGTAATTATGTAACGACTACCATATTATGGGAAGTTATTAAACAATTCCTCATACTTACACTTCAACACAACTTTCTTAAAACTCCCCAAGAATGCTCTTATCAGAAGAGAAAAAAAAAAAAAAAAAATCCATGAATGCGACACCATGTCGGAGACGCATCCACGGTGTGTCGAAGGCATGTCCACGGTGTATCCGAATATTCAAAAAAAAAAATTAAAAAAAAAAAAAATCACACACATATTTTGGGGTGTTCGACACATGTCGGGCGTGTCCGGTCGTGTTGTGGCACCGAGACGTGTTCGACACGGATTCTTTGCCCTTTTAGGTGTGTCCATGCTTCATAGTTCATACTCCTCTTTTAATATGATCTTAATGGGAAATCGTTTTATGTGAAAAGACTAGACCTATTCAGTTGGAACCAGGTATGTAAGCCTATTCAATTGGGTTTGGGTATTAGAAGGTTGATCTCTTTCAATAGGGCTCTCCGGCTTTGGAGGAGGGTTGTTGCGTGCCGTTTTGGGGAGGAGAGAGATGGTTGGGCCTCTAGTGCGGTCAGATCAGCTGGTGGTGTGGGTGTGTGGAAGTTCATTCGAAGGGGCTGGGATGAAATCTTGAAACACATCATATTCTGAGTTCGGAATGGCAGGGACATTCGATTTCTGGGAGGACTTATGTTGTGGTGATCGTACGTTGGCCTGCTCCTTTCCTAGGTCTTTTAGGATTGTTGTTGATAGACATGCCTTGGTTTCCAACTGTCATCGGCTTGACAATGGTAGGATCACATGGATGTGCGATTGCGGCGTCATTTTCAGGACTGGAAGTTGGATGATGTTTGTGGATTTTTCAACCTGTTGTATAGCCAGGAGCTGGATGGCGGAGGCCCTGATTCTTTTCTTTGGGTCCCCTCTTCTCAGGGGAGAAATTGTATATATATAGGAGTTTGTTGATTTTTTGGGTTCCTTGAGTCCTTAGGCCTCTTTCTTTGGCTTCGGCCTTTGTGTAGCTTTCGGATCCGTTCCCCTCTTGAACGCTTTCTATATTATTCTTACTTATAAAAAAATAATAATAATAATCACCGTGTCAGATTTCTTTCACTTCCCACAACTTCTCTCCTACTCCATTTCTCACCCTTCACAAGAGCCATGAAAATTTTTGAGACGAAAGAGCCCATTTGGATTAAGCAGGTTGGCTAGTTGTCCCATTGTTCTTCATTGGCCATGGTTCATCAGTGTCTTAGTTGTAAGGGAAAATTTTAAGGAGGAACAATAATGGTACTCGTAGCGAAAAACCAACAATTCTTATGCACTCCTTTAAAGAGGAAGGTAAGCGTTTTTCTGGGTCTCCTTTCATTCGTAGCAAAAAACCGTTGTTCTTTTTCTAGCAAACAATTCTTAACTTTCGATGTCAAAACCATTCTTAGCCTCAATGCAAACATGAGTAGACATAAGGCTTTATTTGAGCTTGGAATTTCAACAGCATGATTATGCACTTGAATATACAAATCATCGAAGGAAAGAGTAAAGAATGAGTTTTAGAAATATGGGGGTGGCAGCAAATATCACGAACTGATGGGTTTGTGCCACTCTGAATGGCGACAGTGGCAGTGATGGGAGGGCTTTTAAACATTGTTGTATAGTGTGCATATGTATGTGACCAAGTATGTTAGTTAAGTCTTTTGGTCAAACTGAAGGGCAAATCAGGCATTTTAGTCTCTTGACGAATAGTTAATGGGAGGGAGTAAGTAGAACTCACAAACCAAACCTCAAGGGAAGTCCTCGTAAATATGGTCATTCTTTCTAGACGTGTATAATTCAGCCAAACCTCATGGAGGTCAGTGTAATTTTTCCAAAACAAAATTCAGAATAATGCCTTTATTTTTTTTTTTTTGATAAATAAAATTCAGAATAATACCTATAGAACGAAAATCAATAATATCAGCCACCGAACGCCTTTCAGATTCAGGTACAGCAATTGCTTCTTCAAATTTGAGCCTCATTACGGCTTTCTCACATTCCTTTAATTTCTTAACAGCATCAGGATCATTTGGACAGATTCTCTTGACCTAAGTTATAAAATAAATGAAACAACGAACTTCATAAATTAGCACATCACCAAAAAATATGAAAAAAAAATTGTAATACAGATGAAAAGAGCAGAAAATGCATGCATTTCCTCCAACCAAAAGAATAATAAAGTAAAGGACATAAATGAATACATAAAGAATGCATGGGGAAAAGGATGCAAAATGCATGGGTAAAAAGAAGAAGGAAAAAAAAAAAAAAGGAAGCGAAGCAGCTCAAACTGGTTTAAAAGTAAAAAAATTGTTCAACAAATAACCCTACTTGACGAAATAGAAAGGTCTCACATGACTGAAGGGAGCATATTGTAATAACAACAGTTGCACACCATACCCGTACAAAAACCATATTGCAAATTATGCTGCCTCCAAAAAAATAATACTACTTCAACAGGAACTAAATATTGCAATTTTTATCTTAATTATACTTTTTTTTTTTTTGATAAGTAATTTTTATCGTAATTATACAGTAGGATGTTTTGCAATACTTCACACAGTTACAATGTCAACGAAGAGACATGGAATATTATTATATCCTATAAATAATCTCCGCCCAGGTGCAAATTTTCCGATTCTCCCTAAAATAATTGAGAATACAGAATCCCATTTCACGAAGACAAAGTTACAGTCCAAACTGTGAAGTAATTCCTCATATCATCAGCACATTACCATTACTTTTTGCCATGTCTAGTGGGACATTGTCAAAGGAGTTGACAAATGGTAGAAAGAAGAATGCCAACCAGATCTAATCCAGAGATCCCAGAGCAGGACAAAGAGCAATGCCAAGAAATTCTCGCTAGAAGTTCTGGATCCTGAAATGAAGGAAATTTGATGGCCAAGATACAAAAATTGAAGTCAAGAACTTGTTGGAGTCATGGAATCTTGAAACATGTGCAACTCGTGTGTGAATATCATCTTGTTCTCCCAAAGTAACATTGAAACATGTGCAACTCGTGTTCGAATCTCATGTTCTATGTCAATCCCTTTTTTGAGAGAAAAGGCATGTGAGAGAAAAATGCCATTTCCAAACATCAATCTTCGAGACCCATCTCCTATCCCACAACACCAAGATGCATCCTATGGTAACCATGACATCCAACACCACCCACCCCACAAATTTGAATCCCCAAAGACTCCTCACAAAGCCATCATTGGACAATGCCAGCTTAGTCTCTCGCAAACACCCCACATGAGCATTCCACTTCCTCTGACATTTTCACTACCTTCTGTCTATCCTGGTCATTAAGGCCCCAGACATTTGATGTCACTATTCTAAGCTACATGTGCACACCATCGCTTTTCCTAACCCCCTTCCGCCCCCTCTCCCCTTCTACCTCTCCTTCCCATTTCTCCCATAACAGTTTACGTAAGAAATTTGGTTGTGAAGCACCCTCTCCCCCTCTATGCTGAGTTTTGCTTCCTGCTAGCCATTCTCTACTCTCTATCCATCTCCTGAAATAAGTTGCCCTTGACTTTCTTCCCCTGCATAGGTCAGCCCCAAATTGTGGATAACCTCCCCTATATTTCGGTTCACCCACCCCTCCTCATCCTCCTCCGTGGACTGAATCGCCAAAATTTTGTCCCCCCGGGGTTCAGAACCCATAACTGGCAAGGGATTAAGCAAACCTTCCATGTCAATCCTGTTACCTTCTCCCACCACGGTCAGTTGTCTATCTCAATAAAAGTCACTGTTCATTTCTTCATCCCCGACCCTCCCTTGCATCCCTTCTGATGCAGAACACCCCTCATTTTCCACAGCTTCACTCGCCTACTGATCTGCCCTCATTTCATCTGATCTCCACAGCCTTTCCCTCCTGCAATAGAGCTTCAGTTCAGCCAGCATTGCTCCTGCGGAGTCCTGCCGGAGTCTCAACTGAACTCCCCAACCAACCCAAATCATCATAGCACCATCCTCCTCCACAGTCAGCATTTCCACAGTCCTCACCACCATGTCTGGCACATTCCGGACTCTGGAGGTCACCTGAAACCTCCCCCAGCACATCAAAATCCTCGCCATCGATCATAAAATCCCAGTCCGACAGCCAGGAGCCAGACCCTTCCTCATCAGGCCGCTGATCTCGGCTCCTCCTCCCATTGGTTTCATCGTACTCAGAAAAGAAAGGAAGGGTTGATATTAGGCTTTTAACAGGTGCATTGCAAACTTTTCCTGGTCCATTACATCCCTTGGGATGCCTCCCCTCACAAAATAAATCCTCGGGTATCCTTTTAGCCTTTTCAGCCCATGTTGCCTTCCTGATCTGTCGTTGGGTTCAGTTTGCTCATTCTTGGGCTTGATTTATTTTATATTGCTCTGGCCTAGTTGGCTTATCCACATCTGGCCCACGTTTCTGTTTTGATCTGGTCTGACCAACTCCATTTAAATCACGGTTTAAGGCCCATTTTTACTTCTGGGAGTTATGAGCATATACCGTATATAACTGGTCATGTATACCTCTTTGATTGATTTTGACTTATCAAGAAAATAAAACAAAAAGATACCATAATCCGTTCAATAAAATATGTGCACATAAAATTCACAGAGGAATCCTTTGCTTGTAACACAAATAATGGGTAAAAAAAATTTTTAGAGATAGATGTGAACTTAAATTAATTGATCCTTAAGAACAGAGAGAGAGAGAGAGAGAGAGAAACTGGCGAATTATTATGAGTTATTATAATCTAAATCCAAGACAGACAGTAGAGTCAACTAATTGACCATTTTTAGAAATTTCAACAACCATAACATGAAATTATTACTTTCAAAATCTAATTTAAGATGTGCATGATATTAAATTACCTGTTGAAAATCCTTTAGTGCATCTTTAAACTTCCCCATTGAGAGATATGCTGCACCTCGCCTGTAATAACCCTGTAATTACTAAAACTATCAAAAATAAAGTCGCATAATTTTAGGACGCAAGGGCATCATAGATTTTAGATTGCGAAACATGCCTTTGAATAATTAGGATCTACTTCAATGGCCTTTAATGCATCCTGGATAGCGCTACCATATTCCTCAAGTTTTGTGTGAGCAAGTGCACGATTTGCCCAATATACAGCATTTTGACAATTTAGTTCAATTGCTCGAGTATATAGATCAATAGCTTGAGAATATTTATGGGCTGAAACACAAGTCAACATGCTTAGCAACAGAAAATATGCAGAAATCGCCAAAAAGGCAGCAGAGAAACAATTGTATGCAAGCAAATAATTTTTATAAATCTTCTGCAGTAAAGAGATCGTTCAGCAAAACAACACCAATATATATATATATAAGAGATTGATCAATAAAGCAACAAAAATATTTTTAAATACATATCCATATTTCTGTGCCATGCTTAGAGAGAGAGAGAGAGAGAGAAGCTTCAAAAAAAACGCAAATTGTTTGCAAGAAAAAGGATCAGCATGCAGCTCACCAAAAATGTTTATTTGATACTTTTCATTTCATCAGAACGGATTTACTAACAATAATGTGCTGCATAATTAAGGAGCATAAAATAACAAATACCATTACCTTTAAATGCATCGTTGGCAAGAAGTTTGAATTCCTCAGCTCGGGGAGAATTTGAATTTTCAGCTTCCATGCTGGGCATAATAGTTTTTGTCCACGTTAAATCAGGTTCAATAACTTAGAAGATAATTACTCCCATACACGATGCTCCACCTCTGCATGAAAAGAATAGAAGGGGCTAAAGTAGCTAACAACTGTGCTAATCTGGGCAGACCCAGACAAGGAGTATGATGAACATCACTAGAAAGACAATAGCAAAATCTTTCAAAATAAGACTAACTGCATTCAAGAGTCCAAAGCCAATAGTAAGTGGATAAAGATTATTAAAAGTTCAGGAAAAATAAAAATATAAAATATAAAAAAAGCAATCTGCACTTATCAATGATTAAATACTTGGGTACTTTAGATAGCTTTCAAAGCACTGCAGTCAAAACAGAAACTGCTTTGAATGTTCTGATATCAGTAAATATTCTATTTATTTTTCAAGAATATCACCCGCGATAATTACATAAGCAGACAACCAAAAATGCATTGGCGCGTTTTTTGGTAAGCACACAACTACAAAGAGGAACCCATAGTACAATCAGTGTTCAAAGAGCATAATACTACCAAGGGAACAACAGCAGCAGCAGCAAAACAAGCAAACGCTAAAAAGCCCTAGCTACAATACAAACATAACTTAACCAAAAAACTAACAAGCTGAGCTGGGTCACAGTAGCATATGCAGATCAGCAACTATTGGGAAACAGAATAAGGAAGGATCCATGTGATTTGAAGATTCTCGTCGACTGCTGTGTCTGGAAAATGCCTCAGAGAAACAATTCTGAATCTAATAAAGTAGATAGAGGAAGATAAGGAGAGCTTTAAAATGATAGAGTTGCTGGATTTCCCTATGAAAGAAGATGAAACCAAGTTAATGATGTCACTCCATGTACTGAGGATGAGCTGAAGGAAATGAATACCACTTCTGAAGGATTGTAGAACAGATTCTAAAAGAAAAGGGGCAGTTGAAAAAAAGTGATCATGGTCCTCTGTGTGAGTTCTGCAGAAGACACATATTATAGAGGAAATGGTACCATATTTAAGAAGTTTAACACAACATAGGAATAGCGAAAATGCCTTTTAACGGTTAAATTGAAAAATACTAATCGAACAGGGCCAGAAATACACCTCCCGAATCCATGAGGCTCTCAAATTAATTTCTAATACTTCAACATCAAGGCAGGACTGCTCTTTTCTAAATTCGGGAGCAGAAAAGACAAGCAAACATAAATAATATAAAAGTGCAAGGGTAAAAAACAGAAAACGGAGAAGTTAAAGGCATAATGTCAAATTCAAAGAAATATTGGTATTTTATTGAACAAACAAGAATAAAGTAATTTTGAAACGTTAGTTTCAACAATTTACCCATAGAATATTGATGAATCACTCTTCATAAGGCCATCATAATGAACTAATTAATATTCACTAAAATGCATCTAGCATATTCAATCTTCGCACAAAAGAAAATATGGTACTTCATAATGCAGCTGGAAGGAAGAGAAAGGGAACATACAAACAGTAAAGGTTGAGAATTAAAGCATAGTTGAGTTGATTGAACTCTATGAAACATAAACATAAACAAGGGACATGGACAGATATGACTTGCAAACATTCACACAGCAAATCTAAAAAACAAAATTAGAGAAATGATTGGTCCTCCAAAAACATGTGGGTCCCACCTGAAAGCATCCAGCGGTGCAGGCGCATTCAAATAGAAGTTTGGCCATCCACTTTCGAAGGGCCTATCATAACTCTAAAAATTAAAGTAGGACATGGACAATTAAAATGAGGCAATTTAATATAAATCATTTACATTAAAATTATATTATAGACAACAAATATGCAACAAACTAAAATAAAGAAAACATGGTGAAAGCAAATGTTAGGTGAAAGATGTTAGAAATTCAAATTGCCACAGCCTAAGATATATTTAATCATAGAATTGACATAAGAATTTCAGTAAATCCAATTAGTTCACTCGAGAATTACAGCCATTGTTAACATTACCTAAACAGAAATACCACCAACCAAGAACATTCACATGGATAGGAAAAACTGCTGGCAAAACACAGAATCCTGAAAAAGAAAAAGCAAAAAAAATTACTCCCCCTGAATAATCAAATGCATATAAAAGGGAAACCCGTTCAACCCAACCCTAAACTCTTAAGGCACAAAGGGATTTTTTGCCACCATTTTAAGACTACCCATTTTGGTCCCGAGGTCAAAAGAATCAGCTTTTCCCATTCCTATCAAAAGCTATATAACTACTTCCATGATGCCAACCAAACAGCGCCTGATACTACGATTAACTCAGAAAACATATACCCATTAAATATCATTGTATGCTATGAAGTTGTTGAGGGAATTTAAGCAAAAATATGAACTTTTTAATGGATCTTTATATTTCATTCTCTTAATCCTGGGTTCACTGAAGCCAAACTGAGAGGTTAATTCGAAAGCACTTGAGGCCAGAACAATCACAAGGTAAAAGAACAGTTGCGACATGGTGTGAGTAGGGGACTCAGAAAAATGTACCTTAGACCAAGTCTGGAAACCCTAGTAAGGTAAGTGTGATACGCTTCTTGTGTATATTGTGAACTGGGGTGGGGGGAACTAGAAGGACCTAGATAGAGTGAGAAGACGGTCTCGGTTGGGTCGGATCGTGTCGGGTCATACGGGTTAAAGTTCAACGCATATGCAACCCAGGGTTTATGGCAGCGTTCTGAACCAGCCAGAGGCAATCACGTACTCACTTTTTGGTCGGGTTGATTTGGGACTGCCTGAGATTGATTATGATTTCCTGTTTTGTTGTTGTAAAATAAAACAGGGTTGAAAGGCCCGTTTGAATTTATTGCTTACAGATTTTATTTTATTTAAAATTGGTATCACACTCCATAAAATATAATTTAATTTGTTCATATATCCTAAATATCTAAATTACCCTTAATTTTATTTATTAACTCTCAAACATATGTATTGTTTGTATGAAGGTTAACATGTGAAATAACAATATTACCCCTCACCAAAGCCAACATTATCTCTTCACCATCACCGTTTCGGCGAGCTTCATTCCCGCCCACCATTTTCAGCTAACGCAAAGAGCTTTAGTCTGGCGAATTTAATTGAGGTAAATTCCTATCATTGAATTTTAAAATTTCAATTGATTTGAGAGAGATAAAAAAAGATGAGAATAGTTAGTGTTATAGATAATTATAACTGAGAGATGAGGTCCATGGGGGAAGGTTTGTGACCGAAGAATAATCACATATGACAAATAACAAACCACGGTAATCTTTAAATTTGAAGAAGATTCGTCGGCTTGACAAAAGTGCTATTACGGTCGGCGTCGTGACGGTTGCGGCGAGGACGAGCCGATTCAACTCTCCTTTCTTATATTTTCACTCTCAATTCACCAAGCCCACCAACAAAAATCACACCCAATTCATCCACCAGCACCACCACTCCACCATTGTATACGATGCCTCTTTGATTACATCATTCCCAGGTCACAACCCATTTCAACTCTCATTTCTCTTATATTTGGCCTCTCAAATCAGCAAATCCAAAAACAAAAATCTCACCCAAATCCACCACCGGTGTCACAAACCGGCAAACCTACTTCATAAACGCAAGTAATGTTTAGATGGGTCAATCCTCCTCCAGCTATAGGCTCTCGCCGCCGACAAGCCACCGTCTAATCAACCCCACCACTGCTCAAAGAGTCGCTCTCTGATGCAATCGAGCGAATCCAGTACGGAATACATCTCCAAGCTTCCCGATGAGTGCTTGGCCTACATTTTCCAGTCTCTCAGCTCCGGTGACCACCACCAATGCTCTCTCGTCTGCTGCAGCCTGGCGGTGGCTGCTGGTGGAGGGTCAGAGCCGCCACCATCTCGTTCTCAAAGCCACCTCCGAACTACTCCTTTCGATCCCTTCCCTCTTCTTTCAATTCGACTATGTAACGAAGGTTGCTTTCGGATGCGATCATCGATCTGTCAGCTTAGACGACGACGCTTGATTCTAATCTCCCTCTGGTGCCCCAATCTCACGCGCCTCAAGTTTCGCAGCTGTCGTGAGCTCACCGATCTGGGAATAGTCGCTTTTGCTGCGAACTCCAAGTGTTTGAAGAATTCTCGTTTGGGTCTGCCATGTGTTAGGGCTAAAGCATGAATGCATTGCTCGATCACAGCACATCACTCGAAGAGCTCTCTGTCGAGTGCACATGAACGGAAATGAAACACACCCACTGAAAGGCACATGAACAGGAATGAAACACCCCAGTGGTGGTGGGACAACTATCACCTCCAGTTGCACGTAATCTATTTTCTCCTCCTCCTTTTTTTTTTTTTTTTTTTTTTAAGTATAAGTATATCCAACATTTTTGTAAAGTGCATCCTAAACATTTTTCTTCTGTGCATTCCAATATTTTCTTATTATGCATCCCAAATATGGGTGATGTGGCCATTTCTAGATCACTCATTTCAAAATGGAGTAAATGACACACTATTTCACTTGAGATGATTTTTGCCGAGAGGTTAGAGTCTTAGGCTTAGTTTGGTAAAGTGTAAATGGGAGGAAAAGAAAAGAAAGGTTATGGAGGGTGATAAAAAAAATAAAAAATTGTGTTTGTGACTGAAAGTTGGAAGGAAAGGAAAGGGAATGGAGGGTTTTGGGGAGATAGAAATAGGCTTAACAGTAAGTTTTGTAATCCTCCAAAAAATGGGAGGAAATGGAAGGAAAGGGAATGAGAGGTTTGGTGTGTGATCTTTGATGCCAAATCTGCCCTTAATTACAGGTGAATTTAGTTTTGCAAAACAAGAATTACAGACCTTGATTAGTTGATTTGGAAAAAAAAAAAAATAAAATAAAACAAAACACATACATACAAGTTAGCAGTTGCAGAGAGAGAGGGGGGGAAGCTTGAGAGTTGACAGACAGAGGGCCAACGGCTGAAGCTTGCGAACTGCGACGAACAGCGGGGGATGGAAACTGAAAGATATGAGTTTTGATTTTTTGAACAATCTGAAATGATATGCCAATATGGGTTTTGAACTTTTGATTCGTGCAGACAAATATATAAAATAAAATATATGGGTTTTGAACTTCTGATTCTTGTAGTTGCAGGGAGAGGGAGAGAGGAGGGCAAGTTCAGAGTCGACAATGAGAATAGCGATGGAGGCCATTGGTGAGGCTGAAATAATTTGCCCTAAAAATATTTTCTTTCTTTTCTGGTGGCCCATCAGCCTTGGGCCTTAACAGGAGACAATATATATATATATATATATATCTTTTAAAATATTAAAGGGTATAATAATAATTTTATTAAAATAATTTTCTTTCTTTTCTTTTCCTTTCTTTTTCCAAACATAATTATTATCCTTCCATTTCTTTTCCTTCGTTAATCAACCAAACACGATATGGGATTAAAATTATCCTTCCCTTCCCTTCTATTTCCCTCATAATTAATGTTATTATTTCCCTTCAAAACCACCGTACCAAACATAGCCTTAAAGAGAGAGGGAGGGGGAGAGTAGAAACTTGAAATCCAAAAAAACAAACAAACAAACAGGGGTATAAAGGTCTAACAAATTAAGATAAAAATGTACTAGAAATAATGGAGAGTAGTCTATGCATTTTATTTTATTAATTTGAAAAGGGGATTTCAGAGCAAATTAATCAAACCTGATGGAGTGTTTGGCTGAGGTTTAATCTGGGAGCAATAAACCTAAATCTAAAGGAGTGTCTCAGTATTTAACCCAAGAAAATAATAGTGATAAGGAACCGTAAATTATTCATTAGAACTGTTATAACGATTGTACCTTACTAACCAATGAAAAACACTCCAATAAAGCAAAGTGATCGACTTTATGAATTAAAATAGTCCCCAACTTAATAATAATGTTGTCCTAGTCAGTGAGGTAACTAAAAAGGTAAAAATAATAAGAAGTAATTGTATCTGAAAAGGTAACACAACGTGATATAAGCCAACATTTTATAACGTATTTTTTGTTGCCTCACCACCAGGATTAGACCCGTATTTGAAATTTCAAAGCCCGGTAAATTTTCCATCTTATTTGCTTCAAATGTTCATAGTTTTCTATTTTCCCAACCAAAACCAGACCAACAACAACCAAAATTTCTGGACATTTTTTCTCCTCTGGTGTAAAGCAGTGTGATTCTTCACCTCAAATGTTCACGGGTTCCTATTTTTTCAACCAAAACCAAATCAACAATAACCAAAACTTCTTGACTGTTTGTTTCTCTTCTCTAGTGCCGAAAGCGGAGTGATTACAAGCAAAATCTTAGAAGCTCCCATTTATCTCTCTTCTTTGATTCTGAAACCATAGGAATTTCAAAGCAAAATTGAGGAGTTTTGTTTCTTTGGGTTTCCAAAGATTTTCAAGCAACACATTACGTACAACTAATATTGGGTTTGTTTGTTACTTTCATATTTATAGTTGTTATGTATGAACCCTACTAAATGTTTTATATGTTCTTATGCCCTAATAAGTGTTAGAGAGGAATTATGCATTTATCGTTTTCAGTCAATTGAAATGGGCAAGATTATTCCTAAGTATCACTATTATACTTGTAATGTGTAATGAAAAAGAAGGATTTTTGTATACCTTTCATTGTTGATACATGCTAGAATAGAGTAGGGATACGCAACTGCTACTTATGGGTATTTCATTTGTATTAGCTAAATATACTCATATGAAATTTTTATTAGAATTGGAGAACTTCGATTTTTTATATTGATTTATAATATTTGCGATCAATCATTGATTCTAAATACGTGTATAAATTCATATAGTGAGATGAAATAAAAGTGACATGTGACTTGAATAAAGTATGACGTCTAGGATTTTGTCTATGGAAAATATAAGAATTTGTTTACATTTCATTGCTCAAGCATTTTAGAACAGAGTTGTGATGTGTTATTCTTAAACATGAGATTATTTATATTAACACATTGGGATGTGCACCTCATGCACTTTTGGGGATTATTCAATTCAATTCAGTTCTTTTCTTTTCTTTACATTGTATAATTGCAACATGTTAATTTGAAATTGGGATATTGTCTGCATTTCATCGTTTATACATAACATAACAAAGTTGTATGCATTTCATTGTTCAACATTGTGGGATATGCATCTCATATACTCTTGGGGATTATTTAATTCAATTCAGTTGTCTTCTTTTTTTTCTTTTTTCTTTTTTTTAACATGTTAGGTTTTTTGAAGAGATATTTTATACATTTCAATACTGATATATGACAAAACTAAGTTAGGATGTGCAACTCATCTTTTCCATTTTCCATTATATATTTGTAATAAGTTAGGAAGAGGATTGGATTTTGTTTGAATTTCATGACTGACATATTATATTAATTGAATTATGTTGTAGGTTTGTTATTTAGCCCTTTCTCATGGAAGATGAAATTATAAATATTGAAGACACGGTAAATGCTCTAGTTATAGAGCCTGAGGTGATAAAATGGAAACCAAGATTTGCAATGGAGTTTGATTCAAAACAAGAGGCATACGATTTTTACAATGCATTTGGGGGTAGATTTGGATTCAGCGTTTAGAGGGAGTATTTTAATAAAAGTCATAAAATTGGAAAAATTACAATGAGATTATTTGTTTGTTGCGAGGAGGGTGTAAAGGTGAAGGACAGAAGGGACATATTTACAAACACTCTATGGGGTGAAACAAGAACTGGTTGTGGTGCATGAATGCATATTAAATATAACGAACAAAATTGATAATTTTTTACAAACTCACAACCATCCTTGATGGTAACTAAGAGGGGTAAGGGTGCATTGGTTACCAAAATTTCTTCTCAAAATATCCAAATAGATAATGTAGATGTTTCTAACAGTCTTACAGAGATTACATAGAGAAACAAGAATGCTGGTCTATGTGAAACCCTAGTTGTCACCACTTGTTTGATGAAAATTCTCAACCATTGCAAGTATGAATGACACCAGTGGTTTTACAAGGAAAAACCCCAATGTGGGGTTAAAAAACCTTTGAGCTATAGGAGCTCACCCAACTAATCCACTATATATGCTTCAAAAGATCACACACTCCCTGTTTCACTCTTAATCACACATACCAAGCTCACTATAAGTGCTCTCAGCACTCCCCCTATCCCAAACACCCATTGCTTTAGACTAAACAGCTCATAATCACTCACAATAGAAGAATAATATGTGAATACAATGCTCTCAAGTTGAAAGATAAATGTAACACACAATGCAAGCTTAGGAGAGCTAATAACAGAACTTACTCAAGTTATGTCTCTGAAAGATTGAGGCCAAAAAGATTAAAATGCAGCTTGACCTTTGTCTATGCTTGATATCTATTGTAGTAGCTTCTTCCAAAAGTTTCTCACTTGCTTTGATGGACTTCTAAAGTAGATGAAGCAAGGAGACTTAAAGAAAGCAAGATGAGGCTCGCAATCAATATAACAGTAGTAGGCATTAGTTTGAGATGATTAAATGGGCTTCAGTGATATGATGCTTAAAGAAACTCCTTCTGGAGTCTATAAATGACTATAATAGCATGCTCAAACCTTCTAGTTCTGAAAAAGAGATAGCACAAGAAGAATTTATCTGAGCTAACTTGGTGGACGCACAACTTTAACAGAATTGCAGCAGTGTGAGAATAGCTCACCCAAGACCTTAAGAATTCTGGAGCTAAAGTCATTCTTGCTCAGAGAATGTTTAATGACAACACAAGAATGATTTGAGAAATAAATGCAGCTTATTCTCAAGAAATTTTCATAGAAATAGATGTTTTCTATGTATATTCTCTCTCCTTCTTCAACAGCTACCTCAATAACATTATATAGACAGAAGAATGATGACTCAAATGGATAGGAATTCGAGCTCTCTTTTTTTACCATTGCAGCTCAAAAAGTAGTTCATGTCATTTTCTTTTTAGCAGCTGTAGGTGCATATATTTTCGGCCTGAATATGAAGATTCAACCTAAAGGATTAAACACTCAATCAAGAAAAGTAAATAGAGGACTGAAAATAAGATCAAGGAAGAACAAGAGCTAATAACAGTGGGAACCATATGCCCTTCTTTAGGTCTCACCCTTTGTATTTATCCTTGCTACAATGAGGATTCTTTGGGGCCGTTACGGGCTGCTACATATATGGTCTTAAATTTTCATAATTGTTTGCCATTTACTATCGGGCGTTATGTGACACCCCTTGGATCCGAGACATGGGTTGATCAGGGCCAAGCCCA